AGCATTTGCACAGGATAAAAGGCTGCAGAAAGCAGTGGATTGCCTAGCTGTTACACAGTTCAGGGAAAATCTGAGTAATTCAAATGCAGCAGTAATCTATTCTACTGCTTTGAGATTTGCTTTCCACATAACTTTTCTTTACATAGGTATAGTCTGACATTAATTAGTATTTAGCTGCTGAGCTGCAAGATGCAAAGACCAATGCTGTCTTTTATGCATCTACTTTTATGATGTCTAATACCAACAAGAACAAAGATAAACCTATATAAAATAGAAGATAGCACTTCCATTATGCATTATTTTACCATAGATTATGCTATCTTTTGTTTCTTCTTTCATTTTCTGACTCAGTGTGAGCAATATCTTAATCCTTTATCATTTAACCTGAGACAAGTCTAACCCTGTTTCCCTATAGATAGTTTCCCTAAGGCATTGTCAGTAAATATTTCTTATGAATTGCTTAAAATGGCTTAAGGGCTACAATTTAGAAATTTTTGAATGATTCAAGGTTAATAATACTTATCATACTCACAAGGAGTATCTGGCTGTAGACACAACTAATTGAAAATTTTCATTCAGTCCTAAATGGCACCAGCAGCAAACCAGCTCAGTTTAATACTACTGACAGCTCCGAATGGGAGAGAAATGTTGCTTGGATCCAAGTTATTTTTATATAGGTTATGATTTGCTTCCATTCCTTTGGATTTTAATGCTCAGACACTGGATATTGAATTGTCTCTTCAAACAACAAAAGAAGATAAGAAACAAAGCTTAAGATATTTTAAAATGTCATGGCAAAAAATCTCAGTCAAGTGTATTTCACCATTGTTTCTGTGGATATCTGTAATTCTCCTATAAAAGACACAATAAACTCCTATCAGAGAGATTTTTTTTCTTTGGCAGAGTTTTAAATTCTGAAAACAGTCTTTTAATAGCAGAGCCCACACCCTCCTAAACTATAGCAGCAAAATAACAGCACTATGATGTATTACTCCCTTATGGTAAAAGACACTGTTGAAGCTGAACTGTAATTTGGCACACTACATTTCCATACTAATGTAATGTGACAATGGTATTATGTTCACTGCTTTCTATGTGATCATAGCCATATTCATCTTCTCCAACCTGACATTAAATTAGCTAATATGGTTACATTCTATTCTGGACCACTGGCTAAAAGCAGAAAAGGATTATATGAAAACACACTGGTTTGATGATGAAGAAGGGGTGTATAGCAAGAATAGGTGATAAGTAGATATTACATAATGAATGTAAACTCTTACCACAGACCTGAAACCTAGTAGGTACTTGATAGTTAACCCAAGATAAAATCCACAAATGTATAGAACATAAAATAGTATTAGGTAGTGCAACACACTGTTGCCCTAACATTTCAAGAGAAGAAAAATAATGCCCAGCTCAGAGGACCAAGGAAATTTCCAGTGGGAAAAACAGTTTAAGCAGAGATCAAAAATGGAATTATTCTTCAAGCAGAGACAGTGAGAAGAATATATTCCAGGTAGAATGAAAGCATTTCCCAGGTGGATAAATTAGCATATGCAATGGTGAGGAAATTGGAAAGTGTAGGTTGTACAGAAAGTCATGAGTAAGTAAATTGTCAGTAGCTCACCATATGGGCAAGGTTCTGCAATAGATAAGCATGGAAATGAAGGCTATAGTCAAACCATGGAGGTTTATGAGCTCCAGAGTGATGAATCTAGAGTAGTGCTGGTCACTGACCATATACTAGAAATCTTTTTGTAAGGTTCTTGCCTTTGGTCAGCATGGATTCACTGAGTTGCCATTATCACCAATTATGGAGTGTACAAAACACTGGAATCATGAGTCAAAAACTTTAAAAAAAAAAAAAAAAAAGTCATTGTTCCTGGAAGAAGCATATAGTCTTATAGGGAGATCAGATCAAACAATGAAACTGCAGAGTAGAACATGATGACTGATAAAACAGCACAAAGTCCTATAAGAAGTGGGAGGAAGAAATATACTCTCTAGTTGAGAGAGTTGGAAGATGCTGAAAACATTAAAATCAAGAATGGGAAGAATTATGCTAGTAGAGAAGCACTGGCTGGATTGGAGGAGAGAGTGAAAAATGATATGGAGGTCCTAAAGCTTGCTAGTGATGTGGGAGAATCGAAGAGTTGTGTACAAAACACTGTCCTTCCCACACCCACATATACACACAGCAATTTTCCAAGAAGACATGGGTTTCTCATAAACAAATTTCTTTAAAAATTGCCTTGGGCATCACTTTGCATAAATGCCTCTTTTTTGAAAGATTCCTTTCTGTTCAATTAATTAGCATGATTGATCCAAGATTAAATTTACAAGCTATAAAGTATTCCCATCTTCCCATTGTTAATTATATCTCCAGGCTAATATAAATAAATTTTCTAGTTACTTTAACCCACTCTTTGAAACTTATCAGATATATGACATTTAGAAGTTCTGTTTTACAGAAGTGTTCTCATTTTTAATATGGTATGTTCTTTCCACTACTAAAAAGATTTGTTTTTGTTTCCTTTTTTTAAAAAAGGTTTGTTTCCTATCAAGTTGGAGTCCACAGTCACAGAATGCATGGATAAATAATTAAGCCAAGAATAAAACTTCCTTAAGAAACAAAATGCTCTGAATGGCATTTTAAAAAAATGTCAACCTCTATATAGAAAAGGAGTTTGTTAAAATCCAAAAATTACACTAATTCTATTTGGGTAACTTATAAAAAAAATGAGGTGTAAAGACATAATAAATTGTGATCAATTTTGAAAGTGAGGAAAATGTGGCAAGATACTTCATTTGCTATCTTCAATTTACCAGGCTTCAAAATAACAATTACTATGTGCTTATTACAAATTCTAATTGATGTCAAAATGAGGTTTACTTTTAAATATTGATTTTTTACTTACATAATCTCATCATCCAAATCCTTCAATGTACAAAGGATGGAACCATTTCACATTTCCAGAAAACCCAGTAAGAGGTAATGATTTAATCAAAATGCATGTATTCGGAGAGCTCTCCAAAGTAATTTTAATGCTGATTTGTGCAAGAGGCATATCAGGAGACATATTTATTGAATGACATTTACCTATTCACAAGAAAATAACAAATAGCTTTATCATCTCCATCACCACAACTATCACCCACTAGCAGCATTCAAATAGTTTTCTGCACAAAATAATTCGAAGACAGCCCAATACTTAAGGTCAGATCTTGATGTTCTTTTAGGAAAAGCTTAGCAAATACGTACAGAAAAGTATAATCTTTATATTTAACTGGTATATGAGGAAACACAGTCTGACACAACCAAATGGCAACTGTTTTATAAAACATGGAAACAAGATTAAGCAAAGTTTGGCAGAGGATATTCTTTAGCAAAATGAAAAATATTTTCATACCCAAAAAGCCCTCTCAACTACCACATGTAGTCATACATCTGTCAAGATTGTATTTCTGTTTAAAATTTTTTGCAATAATTAAATCATAACAAATTTTCAGTCTTCTGGTTGTCCTTGAAAATAACTTTGTATCATTTTATATGGGTTAGGAGCAGATGCAGGAAGTTACTACTTTATAGATACATACACATATTGGTATTCAAGAATTTATAAGGTTTTTAATTTTTCTTTGCTTTTTGCATATACAAGTATTTATTAAGTATTTGTATAAGGTTATTTATATCATGCAATATGGCATTATTGTTTTTAAGTGTAATTTAATTTGCAGAGATACAATGCTTGCAAAGGTATAATGGTTGAATACAATTTTTATTGCTTGAAGTTTATTGTAATCCTATGGAAGATGACACCAATAAGATGAAAACTAGATATTTTTCCATCTATGGCGCATGACCGTTGAAGGTTTCTTTCAAGTATGATTTTATTTTTTTCTATGTAGTATTTGCTTGTGCTTCCTAAAATCACTATTTTGGATAGGAAACCCAGGATGGATGGTGAGTTGTACTATATTTCTAGGCTGCAGCAACTTAGTTTAATGGATACTTTAGCTTGATCCTATCTTTGACATCATGATATACATGCCTACTGATGAGAGGAGTCTAAATAGACAAAGGCCAACAGGGGCAAATTATATGCTCTCCTTTAATCCACACTCAAGTCTAGCCTCTGCCATGAAACCCAAACCTTCTACAATCACTTCCTCTATATCGTCATCTTGGAATTCTGTTTACATGTGGTATTTACAACACAAGGCAAACAAGAGATATTCTTTTAATATAGTAGAAAGAAATATATTGTAGGGAATGTTTTCAGTGTTTTGATGAAGTGCTATGAAGTAAGACCTATTTGAAGGTTAAGAAACAGAACTTCACCCTACAGACCAATTAATTCTACCTAAGCACCCTATTATGGTATAGACTAGGCATATCAGGTATGTTACGATATAATGTGAACCGTGTTTTCATTATTGAGCTTATATCATGAAACTAAGGGGGGAAACACAAGAAGTGGATAAAATACAAGAGAGTGCTTGAAGGACAGAGATTACACATATTGTTTTTGAAATGAAAGGTGAGAGTAGTCTTAAAGAATATAGAAAGACAGAAAAATAAGAGACATAACTTTCACAAAAATTACAGCCCTCAAGATATAATCTTAAAAAATTAAATACTGTTTACCATAAAGCAACATGAAGTTTCAAAAGGTAGGGAAGAATTTCCAAATACATAAAATGAAAAAAGCTTTTTCCCAAGAAGATAACCATTAGCAATAAAAACAAACAAACAAAAAACCCCTACAACAAATAGTTGAAACCTAAAGGATCACCATCATCATAACACTTAGCTAATGGCATCCCTGAAAAATAATTAAGCATTTCGAAAAATTTCCTTCTGCAGAAACAACTGCTTCTCTTAATTATGACAGTTCAATTAGAGATAATATAAGGACTCTCAGTTTTACATCCTGGATGTCAAATACAAGCTGGGAGCAGCAAGAAGTGCCAGTCTGTATTCAGACAGTACTTACGGTCATTGCAGAGTGGCCCACTGAAGGAAGTCATACTACAGTCACAGCTGAAGCCATCCCACTGCTGTAAGCACACACCTTGATTTGAACATGAGTCCTCCTGGCAGGTTGTGCTAGGTCCTGTGAAACATTAAAAAACAGCTTGGGTTCTTTAAAAAATCCAAAATGTTTTATACATGAACTACATCACATATAGTAGTTGCCAACACCTCAAATTACACGTCCAAACTAGTTTGGAAAGTTCCAGTTAACACACCTGAATTAGGAACTGAGAAGCTGTAACATGAAGGTTGTCTTAAGTTTCAAGTATAGGATAAAATACATTATAATAATAAATTAAACCAACAAATAGTAAAAGCAAATATATATATATATATATAGCTTCTAATAGGATTATGGTAGTAGGAAAAGTTATTTCATCATCAATAATTCTCTGTCACTAATTGAATTTTAGAAAATGAATGGAACTCCTTAACTTCTGACCAATGAATAGAGACACCATGAGAAATGGAGATTTTAACTTCATGAAATTGGGATAAATATTGGCAAAATAACCAAAAAGAATTATGCAAAAATGCCCTCGAAGTTCCAGAAGATTCCCTGCACAAACTATGAATAAAGCTATGATTTTTGGTGTTTTGGATAGGTATGTTGGCAAGTATCAATTCACATGCTTTAACGATCTCATGCAATTAAGCATAAAATGAAAAACTCCATATAGATGGCATGCCTCCATTGAACACACAAGAAAAAAGAATGCTAATCTGCTTCTAAAGAATCATAGCTAGAACACTGAAAAACAAAGAACTAAAAATGATCAAAGCACTAAAGGCAATCACTATACAAACATATTCAAGACTGAAAGCCTGTAAGCAAACTATGCTACCAAATGAGCACAATTCTTGCAGAATGTTCAAGAAGAGGAAAAAATGAAATCTGAGTCCAAGTAACATTCTGCAAAAATGTAATGTTATTTTAGGGTTTCTACTGTGTACTATGGGGTTTCAGTCTTGTTTTATACACACGGGCTATCTACCTTGCAAGTCAGCTTTCATCAATGCAACTTTGTCAGCAAAATTAAAAAAAAAAGCAAATATATCAAATGTTAGTAAGCAGTACTGAAATGGGGCAAACACAGAATGTCAGATTCAAAAATGCATGCTGCTGTAAAGGGGAGAAAATGCTATGTATAGCAAACAAATTCATACTAACAGCCATAAATCTTAAGAAAAGCCAGAAATGAAAAAGCAGTAATTTATTAGGATTTTGTTGTATATATATATATATATATATATATATATATATATATATGTACATAAAATGGTTAATTGAGTCAATGAGTAATGAAGGAAAATTAAAAGGGCTTTTGTAATTTTTCCTCCCTTGGATAGATATGAATGCATTCCCATAGCGACTATGTTGCTTATTTGAAACGTGCAGTAAGTACCATTTGTCATATGCAGATACACTGTAGACTATGGTCGTTAGAAGACCAATTATCCCTTCCTTTGCAACTCCCTCTAGATTTTAAAATTTTTCTTCTTGCAATTAAGGTTTAAAACTATAATACCAGCCATTTACTTCCAACAGCTGGACTTTACAGTGACACCAAACTACCAAAGTGAATATACCATTTGAAGTGGACGAAAGAAGTAGCAGGGATGGAAGAAACAAACTACCATATAATTCTCCATAAAGAAAATTCCTTTATGAGATCTATGCAGGGTATTCATCCAGCTCTTTCTATGTTGACTACAAATTGCTTAGGATTTCAGGGTGATGTCTACATTGTTTCACCACAATTGTTCTCGGCTCCAATAAACTACCCTGTGAATAATTATTACAGAAGATTGTCACTATTCTTAGAAAAGGTTGGAAAAGAACCACAATTCACTTAAAGACATTTTCTAATAAACACAACTTTACAGGTTTTCTGAAAATATAAAATTAGACACCTGTCTAATTAGATGCTACTAATATAGTGACAGCCATTGAGGCACCTACTTTAGTAAATAAATAATTATCTATAATTAGTCTTTATATAAATTGATGTTTTTGCAAAATGGCATTTAAATATATATATTTCTATGACAATTTTCTCAGTAAAGGTATTTTTCATAGGAAATTTATTGAATTTAACTTAACTTATATATGTTTTCACAAATTCAGAAACTGTAGCATTAATCCAGATTAGATGATAATAATAGCTGGCACAATAAGATAATTAATATGGTACTCATTTTATAAGTAATAATAAGTAGTAACAATAACCTCCCAGGTTATGGAGACTAATGAATATATGTGACAATTTTTTCAACTTTCATTTCTAAGAAATGTGAGTCACTAAATTGCTTTGTTTTTGTTGTTGTTCCAGTTTTTGAGAAGTGAGTGGTCTTCTAATCTTTATCTCATGGCATTAGCATCTGAAAATAATCAGTGTTTTCTTTTTAAAAAAAAATTTCTCAAAGCAGTCTTCCTTAGCCTGTTCCTTCCTGGGATGAGGAGCAGGGCATGGTAGGAACCTAAGGAGGATGAGAAGCTCATTTACCCAGTGGTTATTTGCTCTGTGACCTGCACAGCAGGAAGAGGGAGCAGGAGCAACAACTGATGGTATGACTTCAAGCTTTTGGTTTTTTTGCAAAAAATCATCCAGACATGCAATAGTTAAACAATGGTGAATATTAAAAATAGTAAAACTACAGTCTTAGAAATTAATCCTCCTATATTGCAGAACTGTACCTGCCAAACCACTATGAGAGGACAAAGACATGTTTTATTTTTATTATTGTTTTCATTATCACAACAGTCTTTATATATTCAGTATTGCAAGAGAATGTGTGCCTGTGCCTGACAAGACACATTTTTCAAAGTACTCACCTTCTAGAACAATAGTTAAACACTGACAGGAATTTGAATAGGACAGAGCCTTGAATTTGTTTTTCCCTTTAGTTACATAATGCTTCTTTTATTTTATTACTGACTACAGCTGGGAACAAGCGAAGGGACTTTGTATTAAATGATTTTTTAAAAGGGTATGTCTGAGAAAAGGAAAGTAAAACTATACTGTCTGGAAACCAAAGGGACAATAAAGTGGGTATGTGCCTGGATTTTCAAGAAAGGTAAGCTTGAGTTTGGAACCTGCATAATCCACTTATTAGATCTGTAACCTTTGGAATGTCTTTGAGGTTCAATTTACTCATCTAGAAAAGGCAGTAATGCCTAATTTATATAATTTTGAAGATTAAGTAAGATAGCATATGTAAACCTACTGCCAACATTACTTAATCAATGATAGCTATTATAATTAAATAGAAAAAAGTTTCTGTCACTTATAAAGTAATCTAGAGCTGAATGCAATGGGCCTATACAAAGACTATGAAAAATTTCATTGTCTTTTTTATAGAGAAGTTATCTTGACTTTAATGAACCTGCTTATTTGTTGACTATCAGTCTCTCTCTTCTGTTATATATACAGAAATAGTGACATCCAAAGAAATAGTCAAAAGTGTAAAAGTGTGGGGTGCATAGCACCAGCATCACTTGGGAACTTGTTAGAAATATAAATTTTAGGGCCTTATCCTAAATGTTCTGGGATTGAATCGGAATCCCTGGTGGTGGCTGCTTATAGTTTGGGCTTTAATGATTTTCTATGTGGTTCTGACATAGGCTTAAAAAAATTGAGAAACATTAGTCTTAAAAGTCTTTGACAAGGTAAGGTTCTTCCCTGACTGAGATGAATCTTAAAAATAAAATAAACTATCATTCACTGAAATTAAGTTAGAAATGAAAGACAGCAAGTGAGCATTGAGGAAAGATCAAGAACTTTTGGAATGCCAGGAACTTTGAGATTTGTGAGTCTTATTGGAAAAAATGATTGAATAAATTGAATACCAGGACAAGCTATTATTTGTAGATAACTGACATGCACTATTTCTATTAATATGGAAGTTAAGTGATTCCAATGTGATTAGTACTCAAATTCCATAAAACAACTGTTTTTAGAGAGATCACTTATTGGGTATATACAATTTAATCACTAATCTTAAAAACATATGAGTCTCATCAATTACACCTCTGAGATGTACTTCTAAGATTATCCCTAGGAACCATTCAGAATAGAAATAATCATAAATTAAATGTTGTTAATTTTGATGTTAGAATGAATGTATCAGGGAAATGTCATGGCAGGATGCCAGGAATGTGATACTATTCTAAGAGTGAAGAAAAAGGGATGGGAACCATTAAAGCTGAAATATTTAAAGGTTCCTCAATAAGGTATGGAAAGAAATAAGCCATAATCTACTGTATTAGTTTAAACATTCTGATGGTAGTTTAAGGCCACCAAAAGGATGTGTAATTAATTACCCTAACCAACCAAATTGCCTACTAGATTAGTTGGAAAACAACATCAAGTATTATTACTGCAAATACTCTTTATAAGCATATCTTACTCCTATTAATCTTCCCTTTCACTCACTTGTTAACATCAATATGTCAGTGGTGGGAGTCCCATGTGTTTGTTTCTTAATTTCTACCTGACAGGTATTAGCTGTGTGTGTTGGTCTACCCCTACCATTTCTTGCAGGTGAGAAGCCTCACACCATATTTTTGAAAAAATATTTTCCAGCAGAGTTTATAGTACTGTTTCCTTAAAAATAAATACATAAATAAATGTATGTATTTTCACTAATTATATAATCTCTAAGAACCAAAGTTAAGTCCCACATTTTTGTATCCATCTACTAGAGGGATTTATACACTTAACAAATTGCTTCCTTTACTAAATTGGTAAAAGAGGAAGACACATAGTTTCTCTTCATTTTACATAAGTGTTGTTAAAATTCAAAATAAAGGAAATAAGTACGATGACACTAAAAATGAGTCCACAAAGCCTTTCATTAACAGCTTTATTCTCTTGTATTATTTCAGCAGGTTGGAGTCTCACCTAACATTTTAGAGAAATAGGTGCTTCAATGAAAAAAAAAGTATTTTCAAATAAAAAAATTTCCACAGACTTAGGCAATTGCTAAATATAAAGACATTATTTTGGTTAAGAAGAAATTATTCCTAATCTCTTGGGGAATAGGAATTCATATTTATTTCTTCCTTTTCTCCCATCTGAAATTTTCTAATGGATCTACGAAATGGAACAAACTGTGTTCAACATTAAAGGAAAGGCAATGACACATCCAGAGCCACGCAATTCATGATAATGTGATTAAATTACGTTGATGGAGGGAGAATTGGCTCAAGTAATTTGAGGTGTTGAAGTGAAAATTATCTGAAGTGAAAGTAGCAATCAAAAAATACTTCTACAGATCTTGATCTGATAGAAAACACAAAAGACTGGAAGATACTTGAACGCATTTCTGAAGTATAGAATATTATCCTTGGGTAATATAAGATAATATACTGGATACACTCTTGCTGCCAAATACACACAAATCAAATAGTGATTTGAGAATGGGGTATATGAACTTTTTCTCATTTTCTATTACATTGAGCCTAGAATTTTAGAATGGGCTCAAGTTGATTACTTGTTACTGGAAAAATATAGTTTTCTAGTTGGATTATCCATTTAGTGCTATAAACCAAGCATTGCAGAATGATTAACACACTAATTAGGTGAACTAAAAAATGCAAAGAAGCAGAAAATAACAAGATCCATAGTTATAGCTCCCAGTTTACATTAGACATTAGCACAGTCTTGCAAGCAGTCAAGAAAACTCAAGATTTGTAGAATGAAAACTTCAAAGCATGAATAAGAATTTCTACACCCTAATGAGAATTTACCCATTTAGTAGAATTTTACTGCCCAATAAGGTTTGTTCCCATTTTAGGTGGAATGAGAACGGTTCAAGTGATAACAAAAATGTAATACCTTCACATCCTCTCTCAATCTGTCCGTTGCAAAAAAGAGCATCTGAGATGAGATCTGGAAGCCGTCCATTCAAATCAACGGATGCCAGGCAACCTTGAAAGCCTTCCTTGGCATGGACAAGTTTTGGCAAGGATTTGTATGTTTCTTTAGCCACTCCACCTATATACAAGTCACCTGTGGGAAGAGCAGTCCTTGTCACAAAATAATGTTCTATTCACTTTAAACAGGATGAAGAAAATACAGTGAGATTTTTTAATTAATTTATTTCTGACTTGCTATTTTCCAAAAGTACAAAACAATAGAATGTTTGAATACAATATTCAAATTATACTAGAAGATATTCTAGAACCTACTTCTTAGACAACTGAAAAAGTTCAATATGATGTGAACATGTGGAAAGAACATGGGCCATGGGATGCACACCCCAGCACTGAAATCCAAACCCACTGAAAAACTACTATTAGGGTCTTCAGCAGATTTTCTGATCATTTATATCCTCATTTTCTAAAAGAGACCTACCATAGTGAAAATGTATAGTAGATAGTCAATAGTCTTATTACATTTGCCTTCTCCAGAGACAACTCTGGACCTTTAAGCTTATCAGAAGCTCAAGTTCTCTCCAGTGGCCAAAGTTACCTTCTACACTATACTTAAGCCTACTATCCTTGCTTGAATACCTTGTTCACTAACTCACTACCATAATAGCCTAAATATAACTGAATACTATATATTTCTTCAGATGTTTCCTATTTTAAGTTAAAGCGCATTACTTTCATCTCTTTGTGCTGCTTTGGACTTTGTTACCAAGTTATTTATTTTTCCAATTGTATTATAACTTCTAATGGAATATTTGCCTAGCTTTGTCATCTTGAGGTCCCTAGGGTTGGGATTCCCCAACTGTATGGGTCACTACTTTAAAAGAGAGCCTTCAATCTATATTTGATTTTATTTTTCTATTGCTGATTATTCACTGAATCTGGCTGGCATTGAGCAAATATAATTAATTAACTCTAGTAAACACTTAATCAATTCAGAGCACAAGGAAGATCATCTCAAAATTCCAGAATACACTACTCCTGTCTACAAATTCTGGTAACATACTCTTGTCTGCTACTACTCTAACTTTTCATTGACATTCGAATTTTCTCTCTAACATCAACTATTCTTTCCAACTTCATGGCACTTAGCATGTTTTTCCCAGTGTAGCACAAAACAATGCATTTCTAATGTTTATTGAGCCTGTTTGTGTTGTCTTCATGAGACTTGTAAACAAGAAGCGATACATATGTTATTTGTTGAGGAATAAGTGATGAAGTTCTTGGCCTTTGAACCAGAGAAATCTTGTGCCTCTGTCAGCATTCATGAAACAACAATAAGCTAACTTACTAGCTTAAAGGCAAGGAAAAACCAAACTACAGATCTACCATTCCTGGACTGTATTGGTGAATATACTGAAACTAATTCATTATGTACCTTTCTCAATGTTATTCAGCCTTGAAAACTGAGAAATCCAGTCCCTTAACCTAGTAACTAAAGTGTTACTACATTAGGATGTTGTTGATCCCACATATTTTGTGCAGAAAGTACTAGATGTGTTTACTTCTGCCATCTCTTAAATAAAATAAAGATTTATTGACTACTAACCATAATCCTTAATATTAAAGGATAGCATGATAGGGCACCATTTTTCAAATATTTGATTTTTTTTCTTTTCATTTATATTCTCTTTTGTCTTTCTTCTCATTTAAATTGTAGGTCACTGTGTTTTAGTTGCTTCAGAAGGAACGTGAGTCATAAATCAAAAATATAAAATTAGACTTCTGTATTTGAGTCTTAAAAGACCAGAATCTTCTAGGAATGCAATGGAATATATAGCCTCTACATCTGGAGAGTAAAGCTTTTCTGAACCTCATTTGGGCAAGCAGGAGAAAGCTGGAGGACCATTACCTTTCAGGCACATCAGAGAATGTGGGCTGAGATCTATACTTTTAGATATCAAATATAAATGCAAGGACATGATCTCTGCATACATTTGTTGAACTAAACTTGTTAGGAAATTTTTGTTCTCTATCCTTCAACTCTAAGAAAGGTAGTATTAGAGAATGGTGGGAAACTGAATGAAAAATTCCTGGTACTGCTTTTAGTTTTTTCAGACATATAACATAAATATGAAAGTTATGTATACAATGCCATATATTTGATAACCTATCTTCTTTTTTCTGATTGCATCTTCCTGGAGGAGACAAAAATCTTTATTTGTTTTAGATTCTTCTACAGGGCCTCGGTCTGAGCTCTAAGCAAAATGAGCACTCAATATTTTCAGCCACCTGATGGATGAAGTCACAGTAGATAAAAAAATAAAGAGAAAAAATGGAGAATGGTAAGACACCACATGGGGAGAGAACTAATTCTTGAATGCACTTCCTTTCTTCCCTACCCCACCTCCTACCACAATTCCTGTCTTCCTTTTAGTGAACATATTTGCTTGAGAACTTTTTAGAGCTTATTAAAAAGCAATAATCTCCCCTGTGTTACCAGAGTGCAGAAAATATCAATTCAAGTAGTGCAGGATACACACCTCAAACATATCAAGGTGGATGATTTGGCTTTATAAGTAAGGGACTCATAATTTTCATTTTCACTACTGAAGCTGCACTTAGAACTCCCTACTTAGTACTGTCTTTATAAACTCTTCATAGAGCAGATAGTGGTCTGAAATCCCTTGGTGGGAAACTCTTAAGTGGTCTCAGCCTTGTGTACCATTACCACCTCATCAAAGATGCAGCTTCTCCTTTTGATCCTTCAGCAATGGAAGGAAAATGATCCATTAGCAGTAATGAGTCCTTACAGGTGAAGTCCTCTGCATATGAAGGAGGATATGCTCCTTAATGACCTCGTGTGTGAATAAAAGCCCAGATAGACACCCATTAAAAGCCAAATTTCCTGTAGAATTTAATCTAGCCTGTTGTCCCTTTTTCAATCCTACTGGTTGATTTTTACTCCTATCCTTTAAGTAGGCCAAATACACAATTGATAAGGCAAAGCTAGAGTTGGGGCATTTTCAGCAAAAGCTGCTAAGAGAACACATATAAAGCAGTCAACCTCAACTATTTGGGAGATAGGTTTCTTAAAGAAATCTCAATAATAACTTTATGTCTAGCACCTTATATACATAAGTACTATGCTCCTCTTGAGTGTCATCTGCAAATGATTGGAGATGATGCCACAATTATTTACTCCCCAATAGTTGGGCAGTGATGAGTAGGGAATAGTACACAAGCTGTTAAATTCAATTTGACTACTACTCTGGCCTTGTCACTAACTGATTGCCTTAGTGTAGTCTTGCTAAATCATACAACCTCTTTAAGGGTCATATTTTGCATCTGTAAAATGGAATTAATAATGCCTACCTTGTGAGACCATGAGGATTACAGAAAACATATTTCAAACATTTAGTATGCAGCATGTACTCAGCACATGATTGACACTGGTATGACTGTGTTGATATGTCTAGTAAAAGCTACATTTCCATAGTGTGCCTCTGTCTATATTGATTGCACTGAGAAATTCAGAAGAATGAGAAGTCCAGTTTGTCCCATTGTTTCTAGTACAATGGAGGAGATGAGATGTTAAATTTGCAAGTCTTTCATGACATTTATTTTATTATTTTATTCATACTCATTTGTGTGCTTTAATATCAGTAGCTAAGGGGGCTTCTTTGACATACTCAATTTGAAACCCAGAAGTATTGAACTTGGTAGATAAACAGGAAAGTTGCTTAATAAATGTCTTCAAATTTAATACAAACAGATTAAGAGATTAAAAAATTCTATAACACTGAAGGGCCAGTTTGTAGGTTTAAGCTAAATGTATCTCAATCAGAGAATTAAAAGATTTTTGTGGACTTTGCTTTTAAGGTGGAGCATCATTGAAGAACTGAAACAAGATGATATAAAAATAGACATTACTTTGTAATTACATAATGTAGGTGACAGCACAAATATTCTATGGAGACAAAATGAATACGGACCTCAAGAAAGAGAAAGAAAGGTCAGACATGACTGGAAGAGAGGAATATTCATCTATTTATTAATGTAAATTATGTTGGATATGTGATGTCAAAGGCAGACTTTTGAGTAAAAATAGAACATGATACAATTCATGACTACTGTCTAGGAAAAATAAGAAAAGACAGTAAGAAGTCCAAGGCTAAAAGGCTAGGGAATTTGAAACAGTACACATTTGGAAGAGATATGAAATTGTATCTGACATTAAACACGTGGAATTTGAGTAGGGGTGTGCTGTAAAGGATCCAATGATATGACCTTGACATTTAAGGAACACAAACTGAGGCTTGGAGGTATCCTTTAGGAGTCACCAACCAAAAGCAGATAAATTATGTGGTAGAAGAAGTTTTCCTTTCTCTTAAAACATTAAAACAGAGAGCATAAGACAATTAGAGCAAAGTCTCCCAACTCTGCCTTACAGTAGCAGAATGCAAGTGTCAAGGTATAATTAGTTCCTTGACTCATCTTTCCTGTTTATTCATATGTACTTTTTTCTTCCTCTTAAACATCTCACTTTCATTTTAATTAAAAAGAGCATACATAAAAAAGACAACTGCTTTGTAGATTTGGATAGCTAAGACTCTGGGGAAACTTAAGGAGATTCCTGCAAACTCTTAAAGTGGCATTTTGGGGAAATATCGGAGTAATACCATGGCTTATCTTCCTATGACTGAACTAGAGAAAGTACAATTCTATCTAGATGCTTTACTCTGAGAGAATTTTCTTGAACAGAAAATTTGGGGCAGCTCAACTTAACTCTTATTTTGATTGACTGGTAGAAGGAGTACAATCTGCCTAGGCAAGTTTCTGAGCATATTCTACAGGAAACAATCAACCTCATATCCAAATTCATATCATTATCTTTAACTGAATCTTTTATTGCACAGCAGTAAAGGAACTTCTGCAGGTCAGATCTCATCCAGATACACTAAGACAATTCTTCTTTGGGAGACAAATTAAATCTAAACCTCTTTCTATAAAAGGTGTTAGGTAGAAGAAAATCATCTGTAATACTTGGGGAACAAACACTCCTATATTTACTTAATGTTTCTTCCCCAGGAAATAGCCTTAGTTGCTCTTTCCTGTGACCTCTTAAATAAGTGATAT